TGTGTTATACTGATCCATACAATGCTTATAAAACAGTAAAAAATGCTCTAGTATTTGTGAATGCACCCGCTGAAACCTGATAACACAGACACCCTTCCAAAATAATTGCTTCTTCTGTATCAAAGATACTTCATCTCAGGTGACAATTTTCAAGAGACTGAGATAATTCCATGAAGAATAGAACTGATCAACTTGTAACCAAGTCTCTTGAATCAAAACACAACCAATGACATCTAGACAGCTCGAACAGCATATAATTTTGTATCAAAGTCTGAAAGAGTTTCAAACTTCTGTTTGGTTGGAAATTCTCGTGGGTAGGCAAAAGCACCACAAATGCCTCCAGAGATTTATAATTATCATCCCACGTCTTCTTTGACTGAGCACAAGACCTAATTTCAAATTCAACGTGATTATTTGAAATGTCATTAAAAAAGAAAATTGTTGAATTTACTTTGCTACCAGATATGATCTTACCTAAACTTTAGCAAAAAGTGTTCCCCTCATTTCACAGTCTACTATATAAAACGTATGACTTTATTATTAATATTATGTTGGTATTGTTAAGACTATTACTTTTTTATTTTATTTTTTGTCAATCAATTTTTATTAGGGTGTATGTAGTATACACAAGTTATGCAAAGTTAGTGCAGAGCGTCTAGCAGAATCATATGCGATAAAGCAGGTATGTAAGAGAATACAGCACCATTTTTTTAAATATTTGTCAAGAGTAGAGTCGAGCAGACACCTGGATGTTCGGGTCCGGAGGGTTTGGCCGAACTTTGAAAAAATGTCCAGGTTCGGGATCGAACTTGGCCCCAAACTTGACCCAGAACTTGACCCCGAACCCCATTGAAGTCATTGGGGACCCGAACCTTTGGCCACCAAAATGCCTCTAAAAAACTAATGGAAAGGGCTAGAGAGCTGCAAAAGGAAGTAAAATGGGGGTAAGAGTAGGACAAGTGCCCTGCAAACAAATGTAGATAAGGAGATTACTTAAAATAACATAAAAATTAAAAATACAGCTGAGCCATAAAATAGCACTAGATGGAATCTTTGATTTTAGCTTTGGAAAAACATAAAGCAAAATCTAAAGCATGGCTGTCAGGAGGATCACCAGAATTATCCATTTGAGATAAACTGAGCTCAACTCCTGATGCATGGAGAAAAGGCCTTCACAAGCCTCTGCTAATGTGTATCTAGTTTATACTAAGTGACCCATAGGTTGAGGAGGCGGTGACCGTGGCTGTGTAGGTGGACGCAGCAGTGGAGGAGGAGTAGGTGGTAGCCAACACTGTTTTTTATTTGTTTTATTTATTTATTTTTTGGTTTTTTTAATTGGGGTACCCCAAAAAATATTGGGACATATAAAAAAAGAAACATTTGCAGCCTGCAGTGCATTTCTTGCAGTCCTGATCCATGGAGAAATGCTCAACTCCTGATGCATAGAGAAAAGGCCTTCACAAGCCTCTGCTATTGTGTACATAGTTTATACTAAGTGACCCATAGGTTAAGGAGGCGGTGACCGTGGCTGTGTAGGTGGACGCAGCAGTGGAGGAGGAGGAGGAGGTAGCCAACACTGTTTTTTATTTGTTTTTGTTTTTTGTTTTTTTAATTGGGCAAGCTCCCAAAATATTGGGACATAAAAAAAAAAAAGAAAACAAAGAATAAGTGCACCTGAGTATAACAATGGCTGGGTGGGGCCAGTATAAATGTCTATTCTGCACAAGGTATAGACAAGTCTGGTTGGATCCATGCCTGGTTCATTTTAATAAACATGAGCTTGTCCACGTTGGCTGTGGACAGGCAGCTGCGCTTGTCTGTGATAACACCCCCTGCCATGCTAAACACAGGTTCAAATAATACACTGGCTGCAGGGCAGGCCCGCACCTCCAAGGCATAAAGGGCAAGCTCAGGCCATGTGCCCAATTTGGAGACCCAGAAGTTGAATGGGGCAGACCCATCAGTCAGTACGTGTAGGTATGTGCACATGTACTGTTCCACCATGTTGCTCAAATGCTGCCTCCTGCTAAGACGTTCCATATCAGATGGTGGTGCTGGTTGTTGTGGCGTGCTGACAAACTTTTCCACATTTTGGCCATGCTAACCCTTCCTACTGAGGTGCGGGCAGTGCCCCAGCTGCATTGATGATCTCTTCCTCCTCCTCTGCCTTTGCCTTATGCTTCCACTGAGCCCCCGGTGTCAGTTGGGAATGCCTTCAGCAGCGCGTCTATCAGCATGCGCTTGTAGTCGCGCATCTTCCAATCACGCTCCTGTGAGAGAATTAAGGACGGCACATTGTCCTTGTAACGGGGATCCAGCAGGGTGACCACCCAGTAATCAGAACAAGTTAGAATGTGGGGAACACGGCAGTCGTTGCGCAGGCACTGCAGCATGTAGTCGCTCATGTGTGCCAAGCTGCCCAGAGGCAAGGACAAGCTGTCCTCTGTGGTAGGTGTATCATTTGTGTCCTCCGTATCCCCCCAGCCATGCTCCAGTGATGCCCACGAGCTGCGTTGGGTGCCACCCTGCTCTGAACACGGTTCCTCCACCTTCTCCTCATCCTCATCCTCCAGAACTGTGCCCTGGCTGGACAATTGTGTACCTGGCCTATGCTGGTGCAGGAACCCACCCTCCAAGCCACTTGTGAATGACTGGCCTGATAACCATGGAAATGACCCCTCCTCCTCCTCCTCCTCCTCCTGTGCCACATCCTCTTCTATCATCGCCTGCTGCGTTTTTTCAAGGAGACATAGAAGCGGGATAGTAAGGCTGAGAAAGGCGTCATCGGCACTGGCCATGTTGGTGGAGTACTCGAAACAGTGCAAAATGGCTCACAGGTCTCGCATGGAGGCCCACTCATTGGTGGTGAAGTAGTGCTGTTCCGCAGAGCGACTGACCCGTGCATACTGCATCTGAAACTCCACTATCGCCTGCAGCTGTTCGCACAGTCTCTCCAGCATGTGCAAGGTGGAGTTCCACCTTGTGGGCACATCGCATATGAGGCTGTGAGTGGGAATGCCGAAGTTACGCTGCAGCACAGACAGGCGAGCAGCAGCAGGGTGAGAACGCCGAAAGCGCGCACAGACGGCCCGCACTTTCTGCAGCAGGTCTGATATATCTGGGTAGTTTTTCAGGAATTTCTGCACCACCAAATTCAGCACATGCGCCAGGCAAGGGATGTGCGGCAAACCGGCTAGGCCCAGAGCTGCATTATCGCACACCACCAGGCCGGGTCTGAGGCTCAGTGGCAACAACCACTCATTGTTCAATGCCCGTCCAAAGCTTTTCCCCCAAACATATCAATTTTAAAACAACCTGCTGTCATTTCCCCCTGGTTGTGCTGAATTTGGTGGTGAAGGTGTTACGCTGCCCGGATGAGTTGGTTGTAGAGGAGGAGGAAGCAGGAAGAGCCTGAGACCTTTCTTGGTTTTTTGATGTGCTTACTCCACTGCAGCTCGTGCTTTGCATGTAGATGCCTGGTCATGCAGGTTGTGCTCAGGTTTAGCACATTTATGCCCGCTTCAGGCTCTAAACCACTCGTGTCTTGTCAGCAGCACATTGTCTGAAGAACTGCCATGCCAGGGAACTCCTTGGAGCTGGCTTTGCTCGGTCCCTTGGTGCGGTGGGCAGTAACAGGCGTACTGTCTAGGGGACGGCCGCTCCGCCTTTGCACCCTGCTCCCTCTTATTCTGTGCGGTTGCCTCTGTGCGACCACCGCCTCTTCCTTCAAACTGCATAGGTCACTCTCATGACTTTCATTCCATGTGGGGTCTAGGACCTCATCATCCTCCACCTCATCTTCCACCCACTCCTCAACCCTGCCCTCCTTGTCTGTCTGCACACTGCCGAAAGCCACAGCAGTTGGCACCTGTATTTCGTCATCATCAGAGACGTGCTGCGGTGGTCCTTGCATGTCCACATCCTCACACATAAGTGGTTGTGCGTCAGTGCACTCAATCCCTTCCACTTCTGGGGCAGGGCTAGGTGGACGGCCAATGGAAACCCCACCAGCAGAGTCATCAAAAAGCATAAGAGACTGCCAACAGTCAACAATTTTTTTTTTTTTTTTAGTTTATTGGACTGCAAGAAATGAACCGCAGGCCGCAAATGTACTATTTAGCACACAAAAAATTCAAAGTGGGGTGGGGTGCACTTCACATCTAAGAGTCAAATAGAAGCTTCAAATACCGCGGTTACATCGGAGTTTTAAAAAGTAAATTTTTTTTGGTGCTAAATAGTACATTTTTTGAAAACGCGCCATTAAATCGTTGAACACCGAACTCCAACCCGAACATACAGTAATATGTCCGTGTTCTGGTCCGGGGACCAAAAACCTTATGTTCAGTATGAACCCGAACTTTACAGTTCGGGTTCACTCACCTCTAGTCATGAGTAACTAGCACCTTTTGGAGTAAAGTCACACATTTGATTATAACAGCGTATACATAATTAACAAGGCCATATAGAAGTAATCGCAGGTGCACAGGAGTATACTGACTTAGTAAGCAGAGCAGAGGAGGTATTCAATGCAGGATAAAACCAACATGAAGAACTTTAAAGGGACACTATAGGCACCCAGACAACTTCAGCTAATAATAAGTGGTCTGGCTGCTGTGTCCCTTTTGCACTTAGTGCTGCAATGTAAACATTGCAGTTCCAGAGAACTGCAATGTTTACATTGCAGCACTAAGTCTGCCTTCAGTGACTGTCTACCAGAAAGCCACTGGGGGCACTTCCGGAATCCAAACAGGTTTTTGGTCTGGTATCTGACGCTGGATGTCCTCATGCTCTGTATGGGAACCTCCAGAGTCAGACTTTACCCATAGGAAAGCACACGCACATGCCGCATATATATATGTATGTATGTATATACATACACATATATACACACATACACACACTGCTGTGTGTGTGTGTGTGCTGTGTGAGGGTGCTGTTAGTGTGATGTGTGTGTGACGATGCTGGTAGTGTGCTATGTTGGTGAGGGTGTTTGTGTGTGCGTGCTTGTGAGGATGCTGTTAATGTACTGTGTGTGAGGGTGCTGTTAATGTACTGTGTGTGAGGGTGCTGTTTGTGTGTGAGGGTACTGGTAGTGTGCTGTGTGTGTGTTTGTTAGGGTCCTGTTTGTGTTTGTGAGGGTACTGTTAGTGTGCTGTGTGTGTGAGGGTGCTGTTTGTGTGCTGTGTGTGAGGGTGCTGTGTGTGTTTGTGAGGGTGCTGTATGTGTGTGTGGGTGCTGTGTGTGTGTGGGTGCTGTGTATGTCTGTGGATGCTGTATGTGTATGGATGCTGTATGTGCGTGGGTGCTGTGTATGTCTGTGGGTGCTGTGTATGTTTGTGGGTGCTGTGTATGTTTGTGGGTGCTGTATGTCTGTGGGTGCTGTATGTCTGTGGGTGCTGAATGTATGTGGGTGCTGAATGTGTGTGGGTGCTGTGTATGTCTATGGGTTGGATGTCTGTGGGTGCTGTGTATGTGTGGGTGCTGTATGTCTGTGGGTGCTGTATGTCTGTGGGTGCTGTGTATGTCTGTGGGTGCTGTGTATGTCTGTGGGTGCTATGTCTGTGGGTGCTATGTCTGTGGGTGCTGTGTGTGGGTGCTGTATGTCTGTGGGTGCTGTATGTCTGTGGGTGCTGTATGTCTGTGGGTGCTGTGTATGTCTGTGGGTGCTGTGTATGTCTGTGGGTGCTGTGTGTGTGTGCTGTGGGTGCTGTGTATGTATGTGGGTGCTTGTGAGGATGCTGTTAATGTACTGTGTGTGAGGGTGCTGTTAATGTACTGTGTGTGAGGGTGCTGTTTGTGTGTGAGGGTACTGGTAGTGTGCTGTGTGTGTGTTTGTTGTCCTGCTGTGTGTGTGTGTGTGTGAGGGTGCTGTTTGTGTGCTGTGTGTGTTTGTGAGGGTGCTGTATGTGTGTGTGGGTGATGTATGTGTCTTGGTGCTGTGTATGTCTGTGGGTGCTGTATGTGTGTGGGTGGTGTGTATGTCTGTAGATTCTTGTGTATGGGTGCTGTGTGATGGGTGCTGTGTATGTCTGTGGGTGCTGTGTGTATGTTTGTGGGTGCTGTATGTTTGTGGGTGCTGTGTGTCTGTGGGTTGCTGTATGTCTGTGGGTTGCTTTCTGAATGTATGTGGGTGCTGAATGTGTGTGGGTGCTGTGTGTATGTCTATGGGTGCTGGATGTCTGTGGGTTACTTTGTGTATGTGGGTGCTGTGTGTGTATGTCTGTGGGTGCTGTATGTCTGTGGGTGCTGTGTGTATGTCTGGGTGCTGTATGTGTGTGGGCTGTGTGTGGGTGCTGTATGTGTGTGGGTGTTGTATGTGTGTTGGTGCTGTGTGTGTCTGTGGGTGCTCTATGTCTGGGTGCTGTGTATGTGTGTTGGTGCTGTATGTGTGTTGGTGCTGTGTATGTGTGTGGGTGCTGTATGTCTGTGGGTGCTGTGTGTGTGTGTGGGTGCTGTATGTGTGTGGGTGCTGTGTATGTCTGTGGGTGCTGTGTATGTGGGTGCTGTATGTGTGTGGGTGCTGTATGTGTGTGGGTGCTGTGTATGTCTGTGGGTGCTGTATGTCTGTGGGTGCTGAATGTATGTGGGTGCTGTGTATGTCTGTGGGTGCTGTGGGTGCTGTATGTGTGTGGGTGCTGTATGTGTGTGGGTGCTGTATGCCTGTGGGTGCTGTGTATGTCTATGGGTGCTGTATGTCTGTGGGTTCTGTATGTCTGTGGGTTCTGTATGTCTGTGGGTGCTGAATGTGTGTGGGTGCTGTGTATGTCTGTGGGTGCTGTGTATGTCTGTGGGTGCTGTATGTGTGTGGGTGCTGTGTGGGTGCTGTATGTCTGTGGGTGCTGTGTATGTCTGTGTGTGCTGTGTGTGTGTGTGTGCTGTATGTGTGTGGGTACTGTATGTGTGTGGGTTCTGTATGTGTTTGGGTACTGTGTATGTCTGTGGGTGCTGTATGTGTGTGGGTGCTGTGGGTGCTGTGTATGGGTGCTGTATATATGTGGGTGCTGTGTATGTCTGTGGGTGCTGTGTATGTCTGTGGGTGCTGTATGTCTGTGGGTGCTGAATGTGTTTGGGTGCTGTGTATGTCTGTGGGTGCTGTATGTGTGTGGGTGCTGTGTATGTCTGTGTGTGCTGTGTATGTCTGTGGGTGCTGTGTATGTCTGTGGGTGCTGTGTATGTCTGTGGGTGCTGTATGTCTGTGGGTGCTGAATGTGTGTGGGTGCTGTATGTGTGTGTGCTGTGTGTGTGTGTGCTGTATGTGTGTGGGTGCTGTGTGGGTGCTGTATGTCTGTGGGTGCTGTATGTCTGTGGGTGCTGTATGTCTGTGGGTGCTGTGTATGTCTGTGGGTGCTGTATGTCTGTGGGTGCTGTGTGGGTGCTGTATGTCTGTGGGTGCTGTGTATGTCTGTGGGTGCTGAATGTGTGTGGGTGCTGAATGTGTGTGGGTGCTGTATGTGTGTGTGCTGTGTGTGTGTGCTGTGTGTGTTGTATGTGTGTGTGTGGGTGGAGGTGGGGGTGGAGGTGGGGGTACATTATTTGCTATCCCCCCTCCCTTCTTACCTTTTGTAGGGAGGGGGGGTCGTGCTGCTGCTTCCTTCCCTGGTGGTCCAGTGGAGGAGGGGTCCTTGCTGCTGTGATCCCTGGTGGTCCAGTGGAGAGTGAACTCTAACCCCTGTGGGGCTAGAGTTCACTCTCGCGAGATTTGAGCGTTGCCGCGGAAACGCTCATATCTCGCGAGAGGAACCCGGCGGAGCTGCCGGCAAGAGCTCCGCCGGTCCTCTCCTGCCTCCCTCCCTGCATGTGGGTCAGTGGGGAGGGAGGCTGAGAGCAGAGCCGGCGCTCAGATAGCGCCGGCTCTGCCTGAGCCGACAGGGGAGATCCTGAGATCTCCCCTGCCGGTCTCAATATGCATAGGCGTGCCGCGGGATTAGGGTGTGCCCAGGCACACCCGGTACACCCCGTGCGCACGCCTATGGGAAAGCATTGAATAAACAGCTTTGTTTTCCTGGCACTATAGGATCCCTTTAAGACTATGAATATATACTCTCTGTGTACTCAGAAGTGGTAATAGCTGAATGAAACAGGATGAGCATGCGACTGGTGTATAAGCCACATGGAGGCCGCACCTTGCTAAGATAGGGAAGACAGGTAAAGACAGGTAAACTTTTTTGCATAAAAAAACAAAGAAACTAAATAATATTCAGATAAATAATAGCCAATATGAGGTATAACCGTGTATTGATCCAAGGGCAAAAGTTGGCTGCCATTTTGGAGTCAAGGGAGAATATTTATCTCAATTAGTGACAAAATTGGAGAAAAACAAAATCACCTCAAATTTGAGGTTTATCCTTTTACTATAGATGAGTAAAAGGCTGAACTTGACCAACTGAAGTCTTTGTTTCCAGTTTTCCATAGTTATATTACTCTGTAACAATAAAATTATGTAATAATGTCATACATACTGCATGATATCTCCCAAACACAGCAAGAGTAAAAAAGCTAAAAAGTGAGCTGTAGTGGTTATGGTACGTGACGTGTTCCTTTAAAATCTCCAGATTTTGGAAAAAAAACAAGAATAGATGAAACAGCCTTTAACCCCTTAAGGACACAACTTCTAGAATAAAAGGGAATCATGACGGAATATTTCCGTCATGTGTCCTTAAGAGTTTAAGGGGTTAAAAGAAGACAATAAAATGTATGTGCAAATGGGGAGGCCTTTAAAAGAATGCCTCCAACAATCGACTAAACATTCATGGACCATAGTAAAATCGCCAGCTAAACGTGCTAAAATACCAAAATGTTATTAAATGTGCTTAGTCTTGTTATACTAAATGTACATTAAATATATCTGGTTTGCTTTTTACTTTTATTTTGGCAATACTTTAAATTATGCAAGAGACATGTGTATCTCCCCATAGAGGAGAGTTGTAGGGCTGATGAATTTTATAATCTTATAACATGCAAATAGAATCATTAGTGATTAATGAACTACCAAGCCTAATGGGAAATGTTTCATATTTGCAGGTCAAAACTGACAGGTATAATTGATAATGCCTTAGAAACATTCAGCTCCAAAACTTCCTTTTTAGATCACAAGACAAGTGGGACTGACTAGGTAGTGGGTAGAGCAAAGATGAAAACATGTTTATGGTTTACATATACCAGGTTAAACTTTTTGGGTTGCTTTTTGTTTAACGCCATTATGGAATAATATCGCCTTGGAAATTCTTATTTTATTTTATTTTTATTTTTATCCTTTGTGTTCTAATCGATGACGTCCTAGTTATAATGATAATATTTCGAGTTTCGTCACTTTTGAAAAGCATATGGCTTACCACTTGATTTTTTTTATTTTTTTTTATTCTTTATTTTTCTGGTGCAGAGCATGAACAATACATCGTTTATCAGAGTGTGGTCATTTGCAGTTGGTGTGTAAGCAGGTTTACAGTGATTTTAGAACCATTTTATTTTTATTAAAACATGTTCGTGTACGCCTTGGCTGCTATCGTGTTGCCCCTTTGTGTTGTGGTGTTCGGGTGTGGTGTATTCTAGTTGGGCCTTGGATGAGGATCAGTGTGCTGTGGTTGTTCACAGAGGGTCTTGAGGCTGGAGCTTCCAGCTTGTGGGCTTATTATATAGCGTGTTTTGTAGCCTTGTCGGGTACATGGCTTGTGGGTCACGTTTGTGTGAGTCCCTCCCGGGGAAGTGTTTAGTTTGGTAGGTTGAGAGGTGTCTCGTCCCATGCCTTGTGTTGCGTGTAATATCTCCTAACCGAGGGAGCTGGGGGGTGGGGGTGCGAGTATGATACGTACCACTTGATTTTGTATTGATATAGTCATGTTGGTACAGTTTGAGCATTCACACAATGCCCAGGCATAAAGTCTTGGTGGTCGTTATGATTAAAGAAACACTTCAAGCACCACTAGAAATAAAACATGCTACACCACCCAATGTAAGCAACTGTTTAGTAATGGCCTGACATTTTAGCAGGCATCTGGTGGACACCACTCCCCACCTCCTCTCAGCTAGGTGCTTCTCTTATCTCTCCTGTGCTAAGCTCTGCCGGGCAATGCTTAGTGCATTGGCTCAGAGCAAACAGCTAATAATCTTAGCCAATGAACTGGACCTGTACAGATTAACTACTTACATTGGGGGGGGTAAGCACCATACACCATAATCACTACAAGAAATGCCCACTTCTTGCTGGTCAATT